ACACACACACACACACACGCCCACACACACACACACACACACACACTCACACGCGCACACACGCACACACACACACCCACACACACACACACACACACGCACACACACACACCCACACGCACACACACACACACACACACCCACGCACACACACGCACACACACACACACGTGCGCGCGCTGCTCCCTCACCCCGGGATGCCTCCGGACTCCAGCTTGTTGGCGATGTCCACGTCCCAGGACCAGACGTCAAACTGCCACTTCCTGAGTCCCAGAACGCCGCACAGCACCGATCCGGAGTGGATCCCGATCCGCATGTCGATGTCGTGTTTCGTACGAGATCGGACGTATCTGGACGAGAAAAAGTTTCATTACGGTCCGACTCTCCAGCCTCACGTCTTCACCCTCCTGTACCTACATTCAGAACCACAGATCCACAAAATAAGCCCCATTTTCAAATGAATACACTAAATTATTGACTAAATAAACATATGAACTCAACAACAAAGATATTTAATTCAGATTTTTTTAAATATAACAGTAGGAAAAGGTTTTGTTTTGTGATTTTTCAGAGGAAACAGCAGAATAATGGTTCTGATCCAACATGTTTCTGGGTCTAAACTGAAAACAGCAGAGGAGCTGCTGTTGGATCATCCTGGATGGATGAAATGTCCAAACATTGGTCTAGTCCAAGCAAACCGCAGCTGAAGAATTTCCCAGGATGGTCAGGACACAACTAATCAGTATAAAATTAATATTTTCTTCACTTTCTGCGGAGTTGAGACAAATGTAATCAGTTCCTCATCACATTTCGTCGTGGTAGACGTTCCTAACACATCAGTGTGAATGAAAATTAAAGCAAAATCAAGAAATTTAAGTTTTTCCTGCTTTTCTAAACCTGCTGGTATTTTTATCAGATACACATCAGTGTCAAAAATCCATTTTAAACTATGCATAGATTATACACTGTACATTGTATAAATAAATATGATTGACCTGAAGTGAATAATGTTTCCATAATATCATGAAGTTATTTTTAGTAACACGATGAAATGCATAAGCCTTTGCATTAATGCAGCAAATTAATAAACATGAATGTGACCTTTGGTGGGAGTGGATGCCGACGGCGCCGCTGCCACACGCTGCTCAGAAACAAACAAATTTCACGCATATCTGCAGCTCTTCAATAAAACGGCTGAAAAAATGGTCATAAATTTGCGTCTCATTTCATAGTTTATTATCTGTGAAGAGAAAGAAAGCAGGACTGAAGGCTGATGCCGTCACTCCACGCCTCATCGCTGCAGCGGCAGGTGAAATGCATCCTGGGAAGGTGAGACAGGTGCTTAATGGCAGCTGCAGCATATCAACAGCACCAATCTGCAGTTTGACAGGAAGATGACGCAGGCGAGGACGGAGAGGAGGAGACGGTGTGACTGACGCGACAAAAGCCCGACCAATCAGCTGCGTCCTTACTGGCTTCACTCATCCTGCTGCTGGAGCAACAAGACGCATCAATCTCACAGCTTATGCATCACTAATCCCTCTTTTCCCGGCCAATATACGTTCTCCTCTCCGCCCTCAATGTCACGCAGAAAGAGAAGCAAGAGGTCGAAATCCAGCAGCAATAAAGTCGATTATTGAATTAGAGCCGGCAGCGGACTCAGACGCTCAGAGTCCAGAGTCAGCAAGCGTTTTCCGAGGATCGGAGGAGTAAAAGCATGCTGGGATGTTACTTCTGCTGCGTGCATTCTTCTCCTGACCAGAGGGCAGAAGCATTTCTAAAGCAAAACTCACTTCAAAAAGTCGAGTTTTTTCTACCGTCTACATTACAAAAAGCTTTCCTTCAGGTGGAACAAGAGGCAGACTGGGAATGCAACAAAGTAAAGAAATTAACTGTTAGAGGGGACAAATGATGCAAACCTCACATTTTGCACATTTTTGTTCTTTTATTGAGTTTCTACTTCTTCTAAAAACCAACCAAGGCTTAAAAAACAATCAGCTGGTTTTTGGCTATAAGTTTATGTTTTATGGTGTCTGTTGTTGACTCGCCCTCCAGAAACCACTTGCTGCATTCTTGTTGGTTGTGCAGGAGGCGCCACTTCTGTTTTTCAAAGGTTTACGGTTGTATAACTACGCATCAGTTTGCAGCCAGTGCAAATGCTGAGTTGGGTGGGCGTGGCCAGAAGCAGACTCTTTGGATTTAAAGTGACGGAGGCCCTAAAACAGCCTAAAGTCTCATTATCTAAACCTGTTTAATGAACAGGTTTTGTATAGGCCATTGACCCATCCTCACCTGCTCAAGAAACCATGGTCACCTTTCATGAAGATGAGCTGCAGTGAAACACTGGATGTCCCGATTCTCTAATTCAGTGACTGGAATTGAAATCTTCAGATCAGAACAAGAGATTCTGTTTAAATCTGCTTCTGTCATCAGAAATAGTTTTAAATTAGACTGAAGTAGTCCTGGGACTTTAAGGTGGTAATTTTCATTAATTAATCATCTTTAACAGAGTAAATCACTTTTTCTCTACATGAAAATATTCTGTCCGGAACGTTTTGTATTGATGTGTTTCTGGTACACCCATAAATTTGACGCACAAGTTACATCCGCTAACAGCAGCGATGGACGACAAAGCTGCTTCTCTCGGCGCACTGGGGGTTAATTTCTGCTTCTAAACCGATCTGATTGCTGGAAAAGCCCATTGCTGTGCTAAAAGGAGTTAGCCTAAAATAGCACGTCAATACTAAACGTGTAGCAGCTAACGCTAATGTCAGCGTCCACATTTCTCTAAATGTGACTAATTTTAACTAATTAGTCAATTAAGTCAATTAAAACTTTTAACTCCCAGTACAAGTTAAAATCTGAACAATATCTGCAAAAGGTTAACAATCTGAAACCAACACTCTCATTCCGCCCATTTACATGGAAATGTGCAGAAGGCCGTGATGCTGGGGGTGAGGTGTGTGTGTGTGTGTGTGTGTGTGTGTGTGTGTGTGTACGCGCGCCTAGTGGCTGAAAGGCACACGTGTTTTTTCCAAACGTGTTTTTTCCAGACAACAGGAAGGTGGTTATTATAATCTGCTGGTGTATCATTAACCAGCGGCTCGGGGCCAGACCGGACGAGGTTAAAACATTTTGCTTATAAATGGCTCCACATTCAGGCTCACAATTATTTGCATGAATTATGCAGAAATATTTGCATGTAAAGTAGAGTTTGTTTTCACCAGCACTAATATTTGTTTGGAGCATTTCAGGGACAAGTTCCTGTTTTATTGTGTTTTCAGCTGAATTTGGCTCAGGTTTTCCCACTGCTGCTGCACACTCTTTAAATTAACTGTTTATTTTCTATTTGTGCCCCAAAGTGTTTCATTTTTAACTGTTAATTTGTCTCAGTAAATATTTAAAACAATCTATTTTTTCCAGCTGCAACTTTCAGGATATTCAAGGTTTTATCTGAAGTGAGACAGAAATGGAAAATGTAGATTTTTTTCCCTATTTTAAGAAAATTATTTAAATGAAAGAAATGAAAGCTTAGCAACAACAAATGAGCTTTGATTGAAAAGTTTCTGTTTGATGTAGATTATTAGATGAGTGATTTGTTTACTTTAAGGAAGACTTTGTAAAAATGGCAGTAATTTAATCTCAGGTTAAATACTTCAATCACATTTCCTCAGGATTTTAACCAAATGGTAAAACAAAAATCAAAGTTTTGAAACGACCTAGTTAAAGTCCAGATTTAAATCCCATTGAGCTGCTGTGCCATACAGTTGAACAAACTTTTCATGGTTAAAGAATTTTTCTCTTAAACTGAAGACTTTGAAGACTCAGAACGTAAGACACTATTTGAAGAACTTCTAGTTTTTCCAGAAATGCAGAAATTGGATCAACGTTTTAGGAAATCCTTGGTCGTTTAGTATTTTGTCCTTCAGGTAAAAAATCCACTTCTCCTTTTTATCTGCTCCATCCTAAACCCTTCATCGTCATCCTCCTCAGATCTGCAGCGTCTTCCTCCATCCCATCATAAACAGTGAATCCAGAACCAGTCAGGCTGAACAGCTGATCTCAGGTACGGCTCACCTGATGGTTTTGAGCATGCTCAGTCCCATCTCCACGCAGCAGTGGGCGTGGTCCGGTCTGGGCTCAGGTAGACCAGACACGCAGTAGTAACAGTCTCCCAGGATCTTGATTCGCAGACAGTGATGCTCCTGGGACAGAAAAACAGATTATTTTTACAAAAACTAGACCACTGAACCCAAACACAGAGAGAAATGAATACATGTGAAACTTTACAAAACTCTCTGAGAATATTCTCCGTTTTTAGCAGATTTTTTATGTTACCTTTACCCAATTATCTCCTAATATTTCCCTGGTTTGTGTACTTACGTGAGCCAGGCGGTCGAAACGTGCAAAGAGTTCATTCAACATTCGTACCAGCTCCTGGGCGGACAGCGTGGTGGAAAGGTTCGTGAATCCTTTAACATCTGCGAAAAGAATGCTGAATAAAATACGGAAATGTCACTTTCAGATCCAGGTTAGATAGAAATACTGATCATACTCTAAGCTGTGTTTCTCTGACTGTGAGGATCATCAGACTGAAAGGAAATGTGTCTCAGTAAGAGACGCTGATCTGATGAGGAATCATGAATCCTGAACCGAACGCGGAAGCGGCTCACCTGACATTCTCGTAGCGGTGGATGTAAATTCTGTGGAACTGATGCTGGAGGTGTTCGTCCTCTACATTTGTCATGTCGTTGATCATTTCCAAAACTACAAAACGTGGCAGCACGGATAACACCAGCCGTTCCTGGAGAGAGGCAGGAAAAGAGGCGCGATGAGCAGAACCTGACTGCGGTTCGGGACGGTGACGTGGTCCACAAAGTTACAGAGCTTCAAACTTTCTTTGCTTCGTAAAAGCAAGAAATGGATCAATAAGTTTGACAATAAACTAAATCAGGTGAATAAGTCTTTTCTGTTTTGTCTCTGGCTAAAAACCATGAGCTATTTCTTCAGCTAGCACAAGGCTAGCTCTTTGTTTTGGTTGAATTTACCCAGAATGCCCTGCGCTGTAGTCTACTTCCTGTTTCTGGAGCGGTCTCCGGTCTGCTTGGCATTCACAGAGGCATTAAAACCAGAGTTCACTTCAAACGAACCCAGACCAGGTTCGGTTAGCATTCACACCTGAACCAACGAACCGGACTGGAGTCGGACCGAAGCGGACTGAACTGGGCATGAGTCAAACTCCAGTTTGACTGAGGCCATTATATAGTTGATACAAACAATCAACAATCTAATTGGCTAAACAAGTTCAGGTCCAACAGTACTTGGACATTTGAGCTAGTATGTATAATTATGACTCTTTGTTGATTAGAAAATAAATATTTTATCAAAATGACCACAATATGCCAACATACACAGAAAGCATCAGATTCAGATGATTAATGGAGCAAGGAAAACTGACTGTGCCATATGTAGAGTAATAGATATGAAAATGAATTTAAATGGACGAACAAATGAAAAGTGGAGTTCTGGGAAGCGTGTAGTCCAAACCCAGTAACTGTGAGCTGGTTCCTCTCCCCAGGCTGCTGCCTTCCCAACAACCATCTGCCAAATTTATCTTGATAGTTTCTGCATATTTCTTCCTAACCGAACATCAAGTTAAGACAACGTCAAAAAACAAGCTCTGCTTTTGTCCTGACGCGACACAAAAACAAGAAACAGGACAGCATGGCAGAGATGAAGCCCGTAAAAACAAATAAACGACATTAACTCTGCCAGCCCGGGGCCGCAAGCAGCATCCTAAAAAAAGCCTCAAGGCTTGCAGAGAAAAAATAAAAAGCAGGAAAACAAGATTTGCTTTTATTGGTCTAAATGAGGCAGCGCCGCTCTGCAGATCCAGGAACAGATTTAGTGTGGGAGCATCTCTCAGGAGATCTGCATCAAATCCAAGCCACCGCTCTCCTAAAATACTCAATATATGTGAAACATAAAGATCCAAACGGGCCGGCTTCGCTTTTACAGCCAGAAAGATTCCTTCCTTTAATATTCTGCTGCAGGGTTGGGACAGATTAGTCCCTAATAAACTAGTTTTATAACTCATCTCCAGACGCTGCCTCCATTTCAGAGCGCTTCTCTGCTTTTGTCACTTAAAAAAGAGAAATTTAGAAAAAGATTATCAGATTCCCCCCCGACTCTTAACACACGAAACAAACTGAAAATATTTCTTATTCTGTCCCATCAGCTTTATTTCATTTAGCAGTTCAAGAAGTGGGAATATTTTAGTTCTGTTCTACGGCTAGTCTGGGTGATTTTCAGATATATTTACTAGAGAAGAAACTCTGAACTGCTTTACTTCTCTCAACATCCAACCAACAGTAATGTGCAAAAGTCTTGAGTTTTTCCTTCCAAACTTTCCTGAAATCTCTCAGGAAGTCTTCAAATTCAAACTTCTTGGAACTTAATACAGATACAGATATTAATATCTGTATTGGTGCCGATATTGAAAAAGATTCTAGATCTGCCATCAGTGACTGATCCATAAGGGCAGATCTATTCAGTCTAATTCTGTTTTGTAGTCTGAGCTTTATTTTTATTTATATTTATTTAAATGGACTTTCTGAAGCATTTGAAATGTTTGCTGCTGTTTACTTTCACATTTAGTCAACCTTTTGTTTTAGTCAGCTTCGGTTTCTTTATTCCTCATTACACCGACTGAACAAATTAAGGTTGTTTTTAGCTTGTGAAGCTATAGGCGTATTTAATTGTGCTGTTCTTGTGTAGAGTCATCAAATAAATGTGTAATTTAGTACATTTATGTCTGTGTTTATTAAAAGAATCATTTGAAATTAATTCATATTAATAAATCAGGCATAAAAAGATTATAAGCAAATGAAATACATTAGTGTCAGTCTTCCAAAGAGTGGATGTCTAACACTAAGAAACTGAAACTTTAACTTCAGACTGTAAAAGTCTCATCTGGCTGGATGGTGCAGTAGAAAAATGTCTGGACTGGTTGGGACAGATGAAGCCTGAACCAAACCGGGTCATCACCGGGACAACGACCCCAAACCCAGCAGTTTGCTACAACACAGAGGCTGAAAGAAAGCAGGACAGGAAACGGTCCAGTCAAAGTCCAGACCTCAACCTGGCTGAGGAAGAGAGTCATGTATTTTATCTGAGTGATGAGAACAAAAAACAAGATGGTTCCATAAACTGAAGGATGATTTACTTTTCCCATCATTAAGATATTATCTGCATGTTGCCCCATTCAGATTTATTTTAAATAATATTCTGCATTTTACTGTAAAATGTTACAAATCCAAAAAAGTTACAGAAGCCACCCTAAAGAAAGAATTAGCAATGCTCCTGTTGTTACCAAACACAAACATTTTTCTCATTTTATCTTCTGAAGGAGTAATTCAGCTAAAATGTGGATGCTGCAAAGGCCTGAATGTTCAACCATCAGAGGAAGAGCAGGTTCCTGGTTTTGGTTCTGAGCTGAAAACAGTGAAGAATCCTCAGACGAAGGCTCAGACAGTCAGATATTCCAGCGGAGCGTTAATAACGCCTCGGCTGCTGAATCACAACCCGACGCCTCGGGGCCGGCCCGGCTTCACTGCAAGAAATGAGGATTCCTCCTGAAGCCGACCGACAGGAGACGTCCAGCCGCCGCCCAGGTTTACGGCGCACATCTAACCGAATATCTACATTATTATCCTGGTTTATCAGAACCGAGAACATCTGGGTTAAAGGAAACGGCAACATTTACTTTAATGTCAGGCTAATCAAAATGTAGCCCAAAGTTCAGACATAAATGAAAAGCTAACTAAACTTTAGAAGAATATTTTAAAATCTACATTATTTCTCTTACAACATGGGGAAAATGTCATGTTGTACATTAATAATCTGCCATTGGAACTAGAATGAATTATTTACCTAAAACAGTCTCTTATTTATTGCTGAAAAGTTCCCTGTAAGTCAGTTTTGTCTTATTTGTAGTAAAATAAGATATTTGATTATAAATAAAAGTACTTGGTGAGACTTTGTGTTTTTGCAGTGAAGATCTGGATCCTTTCGGATGAGAGTTTTGGTAAATCTGTAGGTTTCCACATGAAAACTGAGCAGGTCTGAACCCGCTGCAGGAACTTTGCTGGTTTTTTGCCAGTAGAGGACTTGACTTTCCCAGCTGGTCACTTCTTGCAGTGTGGAGCCTTAATGGCATGTTTGCTCCAGTGGACGCTGTCCCCGGTTTGGACAGCTGAGAGCCAGCGGACTCAGTGTCAGATTAGCTCAGATGATCATTAGCGCAGCTTGATTTTAGCTGAGGGATGAAGGCCTGCAGCACATCTCTGACAGCACACATTTCCCTCCCGCTGTGCAGGAGGTGCAGCACAAAACATCCGGCACTGCTGAGGATTCAAAGCAGAAAGTGAATGTTTCATATTAAAAACGTTAAGATCCTGAAGGTAATGTTGTCTTTTTGTGATGGACATATCTTCATTACAGTAGCTGCATTTCCATTGCAAATGTGAGCAAGTTTTTGATTTTATTCTGCAAACACAATTCCAAAATTGCTGTATTTCCATTAAATAAGAGACTGGATTAAAATCCCACGTGAATAAGTTTGTTCACGCAGTAAATCATTAAAATCATGGCAGTGACAGATGTAAACAGTTTGAGATATATTAATATTTCAGTCATGGTGGTGCTCATCTGTCAACCAATCAGAGGAGACGCTGGCGTCTTATTCAGGCGTTGGAGTTACAAGCCCCGCCTACTTGGGAGCGGCTACGTATGCTGCGGTTTGGGGAAACTGTAGTTGGCCATTTTATTTTAGAGCTTTGGGTTCCACATGTTGGAGTGAAACATCTTTTTCTGAACTGAGATGTTGTGATTTTTCTGATGGAGGCAGAAACATCAAAAACAAACCATCATCTGACCACTTCCTGTCGTCTTCTTCGACGTTTCCACCAGTAGTAATATCCAGCTTATGATCATGTGACTCGTTTGATGCAATAAAAGTGTCTCCTCTGCAGTTTTGGAAAATACATCTGTTCCCATTAAGCAAATTGATTTTCATAAAATCAATTTGTACATTTCTGTGGTTAATGAAAACATCTGCTGTGTCTGGATATCGTGATTTGATTACACCAGTTACTCTTTTTCTCGTACTGAAAACCATCAATAAGGACTTTTGTTTCATCATAGAGTTTAAAATCTACAGCTTTATTTCTTTTCTTTTCTAACAATCCCTGGAAGACTGAAGGCTAAGCACAGAATGGCACAACTAACAGTTAAAACTCCCTAAGAATTATTTCTGCCATTTTTACTGAGCTACACATTACAGTCAACATTTAACCTTTAACATTTGACCTTTAAAGAGTTCAGTTCACCGGTTTCCTTCTCAACAAAACATCCTGGCTCCTGTGTAACATCAGTCTCAGTGTGTTTGTCTTTCATTTTGATTGAATTCAGATATGTTTTATTAATTAAGAAAGTGTGAAACTGTATATTTTTATAATATACTGTTATGACTCAGCAGAGGTTATATTGGCAGCTCCTGCAGTGAACTAGAAGTCTGAATATGGCTTTGCATAAACTTTGACCATGATGGAATAAATCATAGATATCGTCTCTGATCAAATCTGCGGCCCGGCGCTGCATTATTCACACTCACTGTGTTTTCCAGGCTCATTTAAATTTTATTCGTGTTTCTTATTTCTATGGACCCGCTGAGTCTCTGGCACTTTAATTTACAGTTTTTTATTTCACACAGATGGAGGAGCTGTGCTGCTGCAGAATCTAAATCTATTTCTATAAACAAAACAAATCATGGCAGCATTTACTCCAGCAGATCGCTGACCGCTGAACCTCTGGCTGCTGGGGAACGCAGCAGGCTGAGCTTTAAACCGACTTTGTTATTAAATGAGGGTGGAATGATTATCGTTATTATAAACAGGGATTATGTGCATAAGTTTAATTTATAAACTGTATATCCTCACTAATATCTGCTTAAATGAAAACCTGTTTGCTCTGAATAAAACTAAAACTGGGAATCCACAGCATGATGCTGCCACTGCTTTACAGTGCTCTTAATGTACCAGCCTGGTGCAGATCCAGTGAAAAACGACCAATCAGGTTCAGATCAGAGCTTTGATTAGGCCGTTCTCAGGTAAGTAAAATCCCACAGAATGATGCTGCTACCACCGTGCTTCACAAGCTAGGAAAAGTTCTGTTTTTTTTTTTTTTTGTTTTTTTTTGCTTTGAACTTTTACCTCTGACTCCTCCCAAAAAAATATAAGATAACATCCACGATGGATGGATGGATGGACGGACGGATGGATGGATGTCTATTGCCATAGCAACCTGTAAGCAGTAGGAGAAGTCAACCTGCCCTCTTCATGGCGTCTGCTTCTCTTTCTTCTGCATTTTTTTAATTAACTGTAAGTTTTCACTCTGAGCCGGTGACATGAAGATAAAAAGTAAAACTCTGCTAATAAAGTGAATGTGAAGCCATGACAGCGCTGACAGGAAGCTGATTCAAAGATGATCCGGTAAAGCTGCGGCGTTTCCTCCTCCTGAAGCTCAGTAAGCTCCCACAGCGCCAGAAAAACAAAGAAGAAAAACAAAGAAGAAGAAGAAAATCAAAGCAGAAGAAGAAAAACAAAGAAGAGGAGCTCAGTCAGACCTCAGATCTGGCCTGAAAACAAGCCGCTGGCGGTCAGGGATGCTGGGCTCTGATTGGTCCATGTGGAGGTGTTGTGCTGCAGGCGGCGCCCCGGCTCATCACAGCCCGGCCTTCCAGGAAACATGAGGCCGCTAAAAGCTTTCTGCGCCGCCGCCTCACAGCCGCGGTAAACAAAGCTCACTATCAGCCGTGTGTGTGCTTGCTGATGCCACTCAGACTGTGTGTGTGTGTGTGTGTGTGTGTGTGTGTGTGTGTGTGTGGTGTTATTGGTCAGATGCTAAGTGTCCCTGACAGCTTCGTATCGATGATGCGTTCGTGTTTTTCTCCTCCTGGAAGTCTCTCCGTCCTGCCGCTGAAACACTCCAGCCGCTTTGCTTCTTTTAACGCCCAAACCGACCCTCACACACAACAACAGGAAGTAGAAACATGTCCTGTACACGGAGGCCAGTGTTTACCGTTTCTTCCAGTCAGACAGGGATAAATACAGTCCCATTAAAAACCATTTTGGAGGCACATCCAATCTTTGTCTCTTTGCTCTTCAGAAAGCGCCGCACTCCGCCATGACGGATGTCAAACCAACCAACAAGCCCATTAACGCCTGCAGACCTGCTAAAAACAGTTTGTTGCCTCATGTCACTTTTATTTAATTGATTTTCCTGAAAAAATGGCAAGAATGCAAACCAAAGATCTAATCTGGAAAGCAGACGGTGACGGATAGCAGCCATTAATCGTAAGGACTGGCACTGGTGTATTCACGAGTTTGCAGCTTACCTTTTCACAAGGTAAGAAGATTAACGGTGATATACTTCATAAATAAGATTAATAAGACCCAATCAAATATTTCATTATGGAGAAGCTAATAGCCTAATGATTAATAACCATGGAGGAAAAAATGCCTCATGTAGCCTAGCATGTTAAACTGGTTAGCATCTAGACTTTCAGTTTTCAGTCTGCTCTGCTGTAATGAGGCATAGTGGTAAAAATCATCAATTCAGGCAAATTCAGCAATTTCATCAAATTAGCAAACAAGTCAAACAGCAAAATAAAACACTGAAAAACTCAAACAGCAACATTTCATGTCCAGATCAAAAGAAATTTAAATACTCAATAACATTGATGAATTTGGAAACGGAACTGAACCATTTCTGAAACTTCTGAGCTCCAGAAAACCACAGAGAGGAAACAGAAGAGATGAACCTGCAGAGAAATGACTGATCTACCGAAACGACTCCAGCAGCTCATCAGGCTGGTTCACTCAGCAGCTCTTCATGATCAGCTCAGATTCTTTGATGTTTTGTTTGTGATTGTTCACATCCAATCAGAAGAGTCTGATTAGAAGTGGAGTCAAATCAGGACTCAGGGCTGTGGTGCGTTCAGACTGCCTTCATCAGCCCATAATTACAACTCTCAGCCATTGTTCATATCCAGGTTCACCGTCTGGATTCTTCTGTTCCAGAGTTATGAGGCACGTTTGACACCAACCATGTAAAAGTTGGATAAATGTGACATGACCATTCAGACTGCAGATGCTTTGAAAACGATCAGATATGATTTAGTTCTGGAAGTGAATTCAGATTTCTGGGAGGTGAAATGATTTCATGATTCAGCGAAAAGAAAGAGAAAGAGTCCAGAACCGGCGCTGACATAAAGCAACACAAAGTCACGTGAATAAATCTGAATATGGATGTTTCTCATTTACCAAAAAGCTTTTTCATGATCAGATCTCAGTAGACTATTATATACTTTATTAGTAAAAATCAAAGGTATTTAAGTCCGTTGGTGAGTTTATGAGGTGCACCAGGGATGAGGTGTGAGGGTTGGAGGACCTCCATCTGGTTATTCTGGTTATTCTGGTTTTCCTGACCTTCACTCATTGCCAGTTTATTCTAACTGGACCCAGTCAGTGCTGGTAAACTCTGTATGATCTAGATTCACTCTGACTTCCTGTCTGGATTCAGTCTGACTTCCTGTCTGGATTCACTCTGACTTCCTGTCTGGATTCAGTCTGACTTCCTGCATTTAGCTTTGTGATCCAGTCTGCGTTTCTGTGCAGGTTCCTCTGCTCTGCTTCTCTTCTCATTGGGAGTTTCAATCCTTCACGCTGGTTCTGGTTCCTGATGTTCAGGACTGATTTATTTCATGTTTTCACCTCAGAGGCGGTTTCAGCGTCGTGTCAGCAGGTTTCAGTCGAAGCGTCCACACACACTGACCTGTCTCTGGTTCTCAGTCTCGAGTCTGAGGCGAGCTTCGATGCAGCGCCGCGTCTCGAGGAAGGCCTGGCGCTGGGCCCGGTCGGACAGGTAGCTGATGAAGATGCCAGCGGTGTTCATGCACATGAAGAGCACGGCCTGAGCCGCCACCTGAAACACAGGAAGTCACGTTAAAGACGCGTCTGCCATGTTATCATCGTACAGGACGGAGCGACAAACACCAGGACTGTTAAGGCCATCCCGTCCCATTCAGCCACTCATCGTTCAGCCACTCATCATTATTCAGCCACTCATCATTCAACCACTCATCATTCAGCCACTCAGCTCAGGTAATTCATTCATTCATTAATTTGATTCAGGTGTGTTGTAGCGCTCAGCGTTTCCTTTGCTGTTCTCTGATTGGCTGTGCGGTCGGAGGTATGAGCTGAGCAAGCAGGAAGTAATCGCCGCCATTTTTCAAATTCATAGCAACAGCAGAGAAGCAGCGGAGCCCTTAAAGTGACCAGAGGATGTGAAGCTACGTCCACCTAGCAGTGAAATCCGACCTGAATCTTTTTCACAGCCATTCTAATCTTTTCAGCCCAAAAAATCAGATTTGTTCCACTTCCAGATGTGGAACAAAATAATATCCGTCATTCTGCAGTATGAAGAGAATCACTTAGAGTTCATCCAGGTTGTATCGTAGCTGCTGAATCTTCTGTATTTAGCATATTTAGGCTGCGTTCACACTGCAGCCTGAAGTGACCCAACTCCGATTTTTTTGGCGTAATGCGACCTGTATCCGATCTTTTCATGGCAGTGTGAACAGCACAGGTCGGATTCTTTTTCGAATGTGACCCATATCCGATATGTATCCGATTCAAATGCGACCAAACGTCCAGGTCGCATTCATCCGAACTGAACGTCACTGATTCCCAACAAATCTCAGTATTCTGCGTCCTGATACGCGCAAGCGGGAAGAAAAACAACAACCATGATGGATTATATGAGGATTAAGTTGTTAATATGCTGCTGCGGTTGGACAACAACTTCAAATATGTAAGCTAAGCTCCACCGTTAGCCTCCATGTTTACTTCCGCAAACACTGAGCACTTCTTCTTTATATGGCGGTTGGCAGAACACTGAGAACGCTGATGCTATGGCGCCCTCTACTGCGCATGCGGGACACTTTCAGGTCGTTTGCCTGTTCAGACTGCAGAACGCATACAGGTAGCATTTACCTGCAGTGTGAATCGGAATTGGGTCACTTCAGACTGCAGTGTGAACGCAGCCCTGTTCGGCAGCGCTCCGTCAGACATTCTGTCAGGTGGACAGGACTCATCACTCTGACGTCCTGCTAACTGTCAGCTCTGGTTTTACTCCACAACGACTCATCTGTCCGACTTCCTGCAGCTAAATCTGAATTATTCAGAGACTCATGATGTGATTCTGTTCTGGGAGCAGGAGCAGAAGCTCGGGCCGGTTCTGTGGTTCAACAGTTGGCTTCAGGTGGAGAGAGAGATCCCCATTGCAGTTTAGACCTGAACGCGTGTCCGTTGGGCCAACAGGTGGTAATAAAACGCCAGCGGCCAGCCGAGCCGCGTCGGGAATGCGGCCTGAAAGCAGATCTGACCTCAGGAAGAACAAGCAGGTCAGAGGAGAAAGGAGCGTTCCAACTAATGCTGTTTTATGATTTGTGTTTAGTTAAACCTTCTTGTTGACTGAGGGTGATGGAAATGAATCTAATAGAGCAGCAGAAGTGGAACAATATGTCGCTGAATCAAAGGATGTGAAACTTGTTTTCTTATGTAAATAAGAAGTGAGATGTGACTGTCAGATTCCTCTGAAGGAAACGCGTGTGTCACATTTAAATAAAACACAGAGTGAGTCAGAAAGCAAGGCCGCACGCCTCGCTGCTTTGAAACATGATGGAGGGCTTTCATCTGAGCGCGCTCAGTGAGGAGCAGCCTCCAGAGGGAGGCGAGATGATGCAACGCCCTGCAACAGGAGGGACTTCCTGCCTGCCGCAGCTTCACATGATGCAAACCTTAGAGCAGGTGAGTTGGCGCTTCAGTCACACACCGCGGCGCTCAGATGACCTGCAGCACCGAAACGCCTCACCCTGAGGAACAACGTCCCTGTTCAGGGGAGAGGGGAAGGAGTCAGGGACGCGTCTGAACAGGTCCAGAGCATCTGCCCTCCGTTTGTTTCTATAAAAGGATTGTTTTTATTTTTCTGCACGAAGCGCAGGAACCCAGGAGGAAACGTGTGGACCAATCAGGGTTCTGATGGGGCTGCTGGTGGTTCTGATGGGGCTGCTGGTGGTTCTGATGGGGCTGCTGGTGGTTCTGATGGGGCTGCTGGTGCTGTAAGAAGGTTCAGAACTGGACCACATATCTGTTATTTCTTTCTGCTCCAATGAGCTAAAATAGTTTTTTAGTGCCAGAAAAGTAAAAATAACTTTTATCAATTAGTGCAAAGCGAATTGAGTTGTGAACGGGGTGAAAGCTGTGATGGATGCTCCAACCACCAACACAGAGTTATTGTTTCATAGTTTACATTATTAGTTACAGATAATACTATGCATAAAATATTTTCTAATGGCTGCACACATTAGTTATGTGTTTTCCAGGCACAAAGTGCCTTTTTATAACACAATCAAGGAACTATGTTACCTTCAGTTGTAAAAATGCTATATACCAAATATGACTTAAAAGAAATTTGACTATGTAATTTAATAATTAAAATAATCATTTAATTGAAATTGGGCCTCTGCCTCTTTAAAAGCTCCTGCTCTTCCTGAATCTCCGCCACCAGGAAGTCATCCCAACGTGGCTCCTCTATTAACCCTTTAATGTTTTTACCAGCGATGCTCTAAGTAGCAGCTCCTATAACGAGCTCAGCAGTTCCACCAGCTGTTTGCTAATTGCTGCTGGCTAGTCTGAAGGAGCTGAGAGGCTGAAGTCATGGGGGAGGAGCTGCGCCTCAAAGGCGGGGCTACGTCCACCCAGGCATTTTGCACAGCTGAATGGTTGCCATGGAGATTAAAGGATTTCTAAAACATGCATGTAATAATCAAGGCAAAATATAAGACAAGCTACAACATCATAAACAAGTTATCTGAGTTTAATCACCTTGAATATGAGAGGAGGATTTTATTTATCCCATCAAAATCAATCTGCTAACGGTGAGATTCCAGGCTGGGTGTTTCCTACATGAGGCTGATTAGCATGAATCAGATCAAAGTGATGTTGATCAAACAGGGTTTCGTTGCTCCCCTGCTGGCGCTCTCTGATTTTATTTTCTGTTTTTTTCCAGGAAGGAGAAAGTGCTTTTGGACTGGAGGCAGAATGGTGTCACAGCAGATAAAAACCTCAAACAGACAGTCGTGTCCTCCATCAGAGAGCGAGGAGCTCTCCAGTGTTTTCCTCTGCAGTCAAACCGCCGCACTAAGAGCACATTTGGAGTGGGAAAAATGGAGCATGAAGAGGGATTTTCTGATTTCTGCTGCTCTCAACAGCATGATGATGCTTCACGGAGCGCGGGTTGACATTTTATTACCGGCTTTTCCCGCAGCTGGTTGCAGCGCAGCACACAAACATACCTGCTGGACACAAACATCCAGAAACACCGACTGAGACCCGATCAGCAGCACAGCGGTAAATATGAAAATACCACGTTAATAACAGAGTGTGGTGTTTTCACTACACAAACAAAACAAACTAGAAATCTTCAGTTCACATCAGACACATTTCATGTCGTCTTTTAATTAATGACCTTCCTTTAGTATAATTAATTAAACCTCTTTATCCCTATCGCTGTTACATACGACATCATCTCCTATTTAAATGTAAATAGTTCAGTCCAAAGGTTATTGGTTGAACCAATCAGCAAACATCATCTCCTTGGATTCTGATTGGTCAGCCTGTAATTCTGAACATCTGATTGGTTCAACTTTATTTCGTTTGTATCAGAAATTCCAGACTTTTGACTGACAAAGTCAAAAAATCCCATGATAATCAATTTTTACCCATCAGTTATTAAAATGATATCAATTATATATTTAATTGCATTTAATATTCATTTAGTTTAATTAATATTCAACAAGCTGAACAGAGAATAGGTGTAACTTTTTCTCTGCATTGACAAAAACCCCTGGCTGTGAACCCAACAAATAAACAATAAAATCAAATGATTCACCTGCAGCGGCCTAAAGCCTCAACTTCCTCCTGAAATGCACTGAAATGTTCACCTGCTTGTGATTAAATCTCAAAGTTTTGATTTTACTCAGTTATCACACTGGATACAGGACTTACAAGCAACTTCAGCCAAAGTTTTGAAATCAGGGAACATTTTTTCAGTTGAAGTAATCAGAAGTCAGTAAAACTCTCTGAAGGAGGAGATTCCTGATCCTGCAACAAATCACTTCATGGGGAGAAAATCCCAGAAATTAACAAATGTGGTTAATGCAGGATTTCTGCAGCTTTCATAAACTCAAATCTAAGGATTTTTAAGACCTTTCTAAGACCATTATGAATGAAATTTAAGACCTGTCTGATGACAGAAATGTACAAAAGAAAACTGCATAAAGCTACAAAAGTGAGCCAACTGTTGATAAATTTACACTGATCCATGACAGACAGAAAAAGCTAGCTAGCTAGTGAGGGTCTATTAGCAGCTAGCTAGCCTCAATGGAACAGAACAGAATGAAGATGTCCGAGTGCAACTCAGATGTTTGCCTGGCAAAAGTCCAGCGAGGAAAAACCAATTAAATATGTCATTAACATATTTAAGGCCAACTTACATTTTTTAATGGATGTAAATCACTTTAAGGCTTTACTTTTAGATACGTGAACTTAAGACTTTTTTGAAAGATAAATATAGTTTTTCATTTAAAACTTTTCATTTAGTGTTTTTTATGCTTATTCCCTTGTTTTCTATCATTTTTCTTGATATAGGTAGTTATTTAGAAATGATTGTTATAGAAACTAAGTTATTCATGATTTGCACATATATTCTATATTCATCAAAATAAAGTACCAATCAGTTGTATTTTAACTTTGAAAATGACGTCACCAAACGAATAAAGCTGCTATATTCTGTCCCGCAGTGTGCCGCTAAGCGAGCCTGGTTTGAATTGAAAGCAGCAGCATAATAATTACTATTATTAA